ATGTACCCTAAAGCCAAACAGGCACATTATATATTAAAAAAAAAAAAACCTTGCAGTGGGGCCTTGTTAAAGCTGAGTATATGGGTAGAATTTTTAATTTAAAAAAATTTGAATATCATTCGAAAGATTTTGCTTGCTTTTAACATTCGATTTTGGAATAAATGAACTTTACTGACTGAAAACTATGTATACTGTTAGAAATTTGTACATTCAAGAAAAACTTTTCATCCTGCTCCTTCAAATTTTCTTGTCACTGTGGTCAAAAACAAATGCCAATTTGACTCCCACTAATAATTACAAAAACAAACAGATGTTCCTGCAAAGAAAAATGTAAAATTAAATTCTACTAGTGTATACCCAGTTTAGGGCCTAAGGAATAAGCTGTAATACTTACCTTACGCCAGCAGGCTCTCTTAATCTGTGACTGGTCGCCCAAAGCCTTTCTCTATGGTACTCTGGCCTGTGGTCGCACGCTTACCTCCTTACTAGAGATGAGCGAATCGAACATGACGAAGTGGAATTCGTTCCGAAGATTTGGAAAAATTCTATTCGCGACGAATCCGAAGATTAGCAAACTTCGGATGCACGAATCGAATTTTCCCAAAAATGGCGGCGACATGTGTGGCCACGGAGAAAATGGACAGAGAAGATGGGGCGGGGATCTCTGGGAAGGCGTGCAGACAAGGCGCGCTGACCCATAATGCATTCATGACATGTGATCGCATTAGCCAATCAGCAGCCAGCCAGCACTATAAATCGCGGCCATCTTAGAATTCTCCATTAGCCTCCGGTCATTCAAGAGAGACAGACCTGTCTGTATTAAGGGACAGAGTTAGGGCCACAGAGACTTTAGGGCCACAGAATCGTTACTTAGGGCCACAGCTATCAAAGAATCGAAAATTTAAAGTGACATACACCCTTTTTTTTTTTTGGTGGCTGTCGTGCACAGTTGTGCTGCAGTTTGCCGATTGTGCTAAATAAACTGACTTTCTGCTTCACAACCACTATTGTACGTTCAAAGAGTTAAATCCATTTATACACGCCGGCTGGCGGTAATATTTTTTTGGGTGATTAGTGCATTCCAGTGACATAAACGTACAGTTTACAGCCAACGGCAAGCTGCAATTGACCGATTGTGCTAAATAAACTGACTTTCTGCTTCACAACCACTATTGTACGTTCAAAGAGTTAAATCCGTTTTTATTTTTGGGGTGCTTATTGAATTAAAGAGTATGTCAGACAACACGCAGAGGAGTGGCAGAGGAGGCAATGTTTCAGGAGCGAGCAGACGTGGCAGCAGAGGAAGGGGTCGAGGCAGCACTAGTCGCAGCCAGAGGCCAGTGCTCCCGGTGTCATCCAGCGGTCGTGTCTCCACCGACAACCCTGCCGTCATCGATTGGTTGACTCGGTCGTCTTCCTCTTCCCAGGTCACCTCTGACACCTACAGCCAACGGTCGGTGGGTACGTCAGACACAACCGTTAGTTGGCATGGCCCGGGAGCAAGCCCACTGAAATCACGTGTCCTCGACCTGCCCCTGTCCTTTGGTGTTCCCTCACCAAGCGAAGTATCGCATGCTGTGGGCTCAGCCCCACTGTACAGTGAGGAAGAGCTAACAGAGGGCGGTCAGGAACGGGGGGAGACATCCGCCTCTTCAGCAGCCAGGCGAAGAAGTACTGGCGAGGAGAGTGGCTCGGTAGCCGGTCTAGAGACAGGTCTGTCTCCTGACCCACCACGCAGCCGAGGGGGCTAGTAGTGACGCGGAGACCCTAATTGATGATGATGAGGCTGATCGCACTTGGCAGCCTCGTCGTCATCAGGCTATTGCTTCCGCATCATCAGGAGAAGAGGTGCCAGCTTGCCAGCGAGCAAAACAGTCGGTGGGTTGCCCAGCAGGCAGCAGGGTCGCAGCAGTGTCAGTGGAGCCAAACGGCCTCGGAGTAGAGCACCAGCTCCACTGCAGCCTACCACCACGGCCAGTAGTGGTGCCGGTGTGCACGGAGGAAGTAGCAGTCAGCCAGTGAGGAGTAGCGGGGGCAAAGTTTCCTACTCGGCGGTGTGGGCAATTTTTCGTCAAGCCGCCCGAGGAAGTAAACGTAGCCGTATGTCGACTATGTGGCCAGAAAGTCAAGCGTGGCCAGGGGGCCAATGTTGGGACTACAGCGTTGCGTCAGCATATGCAGCGTCGCCATTCGGTGGCCTGGGAAAAACCGTGATAAAGATACGGCGGTTCTGCTTGCCCAGCCCCCGCTCCATCACCCGCTCCGTTACTTGCTCCGTCACCCGACGTCAATCGCCCTCTATCAGCCAGTCAAGGCTCCAACACCTCTGCTGAGGGGAGTTGTCGCTCGTTGGCATCTTCCGCTCGTTCAGATGCTCCTTCTCCTGCTACTCCTCTTCACGGATTCCGTCAGCAGTCTTTCTTGGAATCCGTTTCCAAGAGACAACAGTTTGCGAGCACGCACCCGACGGTGCAGAAGCTGAACGTCCTCCTGTCCAAGTTGCTGGCGCTGCAGTCCATCCCTTTCCAAGTGGTGGACTCAGCACCTTTCCGAGAAATGATGGCTTGTGCCGAGCCGCGGTGGAGAGTGCCAAGCCGGCATTTCTTCGCCAAAAAGGCAGTGCCAGCCCTGCATTCACATGTAGAAGAGATGGTGGGCCAGTCTTTGAGCATGTCGGTCTCTGCCAAAGTGCACGGCAGCGCCGACGTGTGTAGCTGTAACTACGGTCAGGGACAGTACATGTCATTTACGGCCCACTGGGTGAACGTGGTGCCGGCACAGCCACACCAGCAACTTGGACAGGTCACGCCGCTTTTGCCTCCACGTTTGCACGTCCTTGGTCCACAAAAGATGTCCGCCTCTACCACCTCTTCTTCCGCCGTGTCCTCAGCCGCCACCCCCCCCGTGCCAAGTCCCATTACCCGACCGGCATATCACATGTGCAAGGCGCAACGGTGTCACGCTGTGCTGCACCTGGTATGCCTTGGCGAACGTAGTCACACAGGGGAGGAACTTCTGAGTGTAATGAACAGAGAAATCGACAGATGGCTGTCTCCGCGCAAACTGAAAATCGGAACCATGTTGACCGACAACGGAAAGAACATGGTGTCTGCTCTGCGTCAAGGAAGGTTGTGCCATGCGCCATGCATGGCTCACACGTGTTCAATCTGGTTGTCAAGCGGTTCCTAAAATCCACCATCCCACTGCAAGACATCCTTAAAATGTCACGTAAACTTTGCATGCATTTCAGCCATTCCTACACCGCAAAGCACACCCTCCTTGAGCTGCAGCGGCAGAACGGAATTCCACAGCATCGCCTGATCTGCGACGTTGCAACAAGGTGGAATTCAACCCTACATATGTTAGACCGCCTTTACGAACAGCGAAAGGCCATCCATCACCGATTTCCTGATGTTACAAGCGGATAAAGGTACTCCCCTGTGTAACTTAGATGTCAGCCATTGGCAGCTCATGCGTGACACCTGCCGCTTGCTCAGGCCCTTTGAGGAGGCCACGCTATTCGTGAGTTGGCAGGACTATGGGATGAACGACGTCATTCCTCTGTTGCACGTCCTGGAACAAATGCTGTTAACAATGGCTGGTCAGGGTGCGGTAGACGTGGCGCACAGATCTCAAGGCCACATGACCCCTGTGGGGGCAGGACAGGAAGAAGAGGAGGAGGTAGAGGAGGACATTGGTGCTCAGGAATTATTGAGTGAAATGGGTGGTTTTTCCACTCAGCGGACAGGAGTGGAGGAGCAGGAGCATCTGGTAGAGGAGGAGGAGGAGACAGAGGACCCAGACGCACCGTGGCAGTATGCTGTGGAGATGGAGGCAGGGAGTCCCTCGCATTCCTTGGCACAAATGGCCCATAGCATGCTCGGTTGCTTGCGTAGCGACAGCCGAATAATAACCATCAGACAGAGGGATGACTTTTGGCTGTCCACCTTGTTGGACCCTCGCTACCGTTCAAAAATGGTGGCCTTTTTTTCACACCTGCTGAGAGGGAGGCCAAAATAAAGTACTATAAAAACCACCTATGTAGTCAGTTGGTCTCTGCCTTTCTGCGCCAACGTCCATCCTCAGACACTGTGGGCCCTGTGCGCTCGCGGGAATTGCTTTGTATATCTGTCGCCTTAGGGGCCGCTGTCTGGCGACATAATTTTTTGTCACTGTGTAGACATCTATTTATAGGCCGATGTTTGGCCACAAAAATATATTTAGTAATAACCTAGCCATTCAGGCCGCTCCCTGAACACCTCGGGAATTGCTTTGTATATCTGTCGCCTTAGAGGCCGCTGTCTGAACAGCTCATGAATTGCTTTCTATATGTGTCGCCTTTGAGGCCGCTGGCTGGACAGCTGATGAATTGATTTGTATATATGTACTTATTGTCCGCTGTCCGGACAGCTCATGAATTACTTTTTGTATATAGCCTTCCAAACCACTCTCAGAATAAGTCATGATATTCATGCTGTGTATAGCCTTATAGGCCAATGGTCAATCAAGTCATGATTGTTATAGTGTGTATAGCCTTATAGGCCGCTGTCTTTACAACTTTATAATTCCATGCAGTATATAGCCCTATCGGCCACTTTCTGGCATCCAGTTGCTGTAGCCCCCATCACCACACTGTGCCACGGGCCCCTGTACCGCCTTCTCATACTGCTGCCAGATCCATCCTCTGCCATGTGCGTCTTTGTCGTCTGCTCACGCTGCTGGGTTCCAGTTTTAAACCTAGGCCTGTGTATGGCTTCCGAATACTGCTGCCTCCACCGCCACCCTGCGCCATGTGCCTCTGTCGTCTGCTCACGCTGCTGACGGCTTCCGCTTTTTAACCTAGGCCTGTGTATGGCTTCCGAATACTGCTGCCTCCACCGCCACCCTGCGCCATGTGCCTCTGTCGTCTGCTCACGCTGCTGACGGCTTCCGCTTTTTAAACTAGTCCTGTGTATGTCTTCCGAATACTGCTGCTGCCTCCACCGCCACCCTGCTGCGCCATGTGCCACTTTCGGGTCTCCTCACACTGCTGCCAGGTCCATACTGATTCATGGCCCCCTGTACCGGCTCCTCATGAACGTGGTTCAGCGGGTTTGCATCACTTAACGGCAAATCGTTGACAAATGCTGGGACGTTCAGTGTTGTGCGCATTAAGCCAGACACCAAAGGGCAGCACAGACCTGTTATTACTCGCTCAAGCATGGCTGAACAAAACCAGTCTCTACCACAAATTGGACCCAGACCTGCCCAGGGTCTCGTAACTAGATTGCACGGAGGAGTAGAGTCCGTTATCGGAATTAAATAGACAAAACGCCACACCAAAAAGAGTGGCCATTTCCAACACTTATTCCAGAAAGAGGAACAACCCGTTTCATATACGGCCCGTAGACGTTTCACGTCTGCCACATTCAGTCGATTTAAGACGCAAGCTCCACTTCCTGTGGTCTCTGACCGTCGATATACCTTTAAGTGTCAGCTTTGAAGCTATATTCCCTCCGGAGCACTGACACTGGTGCCCTTCCGTCAACATGCCTTTAAGTTTCAGTTTTCAACCATATTCCCCACAGAAGCCAAACTCTTGGGTATCCCAGAAGCTGCTCAGCGGGTCAGGGCAATAAAGCTCCCCGGTTCGCAGGTTGTTCCGTCTTATGGATGGAAGTACGACGGTATATGATCTTCTTCGCACCCACGGCATCACCTCATAGAATCTTTAAACTGCATTGCATCTGCAATCACAACGCTGACTTCCCCGATCGCCACTCAGCCATTGGACTCTTGATAGTCGTCTCCCCACACTGCTGCTGGGGCGACTTTTTAACCTAGGCCTGTGTATGGCCTTCAATTGAAGCTGCTTCCGCTCCGCCACTCTGCCATTGGACTCTTGATAGTCGTCTCCCCACGCTGCTGCTGGGGGGACTTTTTAACATAGGCCTCTGTATGGCCTTTAATTTAAGCTGCTTACGCTCCGCCACTCTGCCATGGGCCCCTGTACCGCCTCCTCTTGCTGCTGCCAGGTCCAGAGTGTGTCATGGGTCCCTGTACGGCCTCCCATTGCTGCTGACTTCATCGCCAGACTCTGCCATGTGCCACTTTCAGGTCTCCTTACACTGTTGGTGGGTTCCATTTTGTGATAGGGTGCTGTATGGCCTTCCATTGCTGCTGCCTCCACCGCCACCCTGCGCCATGTGCCTCTGTCGTCTGCTCACGCTGCTGACGGCTTCCGCTTTTTTAACCGAGGCCTGTGTTTGGCTTCCGAATACTGCTGCATCCACCGCCACCCTGCGCCATGTGTCTCTGTCATCTGCTCACGCTGCTGACGGCTTCCGCTTTTTAACCTAGGCCTGTGTATGGCTTCAGAATAATGCTGCCTACACCGCCACCCTGCGCCATGTGCCTCTGTCGTCTGCTCACGCTGCTGCCAGGTCCATACTGATTCATGGCCCCCTGTACCGGCTCCTCATGAACGTGGTTCAGCGGGTTTGCATCACTTAACGGCAAATCGTTGACAAACGCTGGGACGTTCAGTGTTGTGCGCATTAAGCCAGACACCAAAGGGCAGCACAGACCTGTTATTACTCGCTCAAGCATGGCTGAACAAAACCAGTCTCTACCACAAATTGGACCCAGACCTGCCCAGGGTCTCGTAAGTAGATTGCACGGAGGAGTAGAGTTCGTTATTGGAATTAACTGTGAGGGACTTTTAAACCTAGGCCTGTGTATGGCCTTCAATTGAAGCTGCTTCTGCTCCGCCACTCTGCCATTGGACTCTTGATAGTCGTCCCCCTCGCTGCTCTGCTGGGGGGACTTTTTAACATAGGCCTCTGTATGGCCTTCAATTTAGCTGCTTACGCTCCGCCACTCAGCCATGGCCCCTGTACCGCCTCCTCATGCTGCTGCCAGGCCCGTAATCTGCCATGGGCCAACGTACCGACTCCTCATGCTGCTGCCAGGCCCGTAATCTGTCCATGGGCCCCTGTACCGCCTCCTCATGCTGCTGCCAGGTCCAGAGTGTGTCATGGGTCCCTGTACGGCCTCCCATTGCTGCTGTCTCCATCACCACACTCTGCCATGTGCCACTTTCAGGTCTCCTCACACTGCTGGTGGGTTCCATTTTGTCATAGGGTGCTGTATGGCCTCCCATTGCTGCTGCCTCCACCAGCCACACTGTGGCTCCACACACTCTGGTTTTTGGCCCCGTGACTGCCCAAATGAGTGAAGTGTGCGGTGATTCTAAGATCGACGGCACTCATCTGCATGTCATACTGACTGACAGTATTATTTCACTTCCCCAGCAGACTCCAAGGGCATTTAAATTAAAGGTACAGTGTTCTGCACTAATATAAAGGCTCTCTGAAGCCTAGAAACACCCTTTTTATAAGTTAAATTCGCAGCGAATATATTTGGCTCGAAGCGAATTTATTCGGCGAATTCGGAGGCGAATCAGCCGAACCGAATTTTTGAATAATTCGCTCATCTCTTAGTGGAGATGACCAACCATTGTGTTGCAATATTGTTTATTTGGGAAATTTGAGGACTGCCTACCATACAATTACTCGGATTGACCTTACTCACAACTTCCCTTTTGGAGGACTCTGGAGATTGTTCCAACATTTATCAGTTTGATCCTGAAATTAATCTATGCATTGTCCTTTTTTGATGCCCATCTCTATTCTGGGTTGTACCCTATGTTTCTCACCCACCACCATATGATCCTAGGGTCTCATGGTTGTTCCATTTTGTTTGCTGATCAAGTGTGCGGTGCCTGTGTGGGCAGTGGCGTATTTAGATCTTGTGCTGACCTAGGCAACACAAAATTTGCCCCCCCCCCCCCCCAGAGAGAGTTCTGACATTGACCAACAACACCCCTGCCCCCCCACACCTGAGAAAGCCTCCCACTACACACCCATCGCCCCCATACCACCATCCACTCCCCTCCCAGCGAGAGAAAGAAAGACACTCACCTTCACACTCTGGACATCCCCCGGGAACGAGAGTCAAGCAGCCCAAGCTTCTCTCAGATCCCACCTGGTCCCCCAAGCATGCATGTGCCCCCTCTTCCATCCCTTCTTCCAGGGGGGTGGTGCTGCCCCCCCTGAAAAATGCCGCCCTAAAACAAATGCCTTGTTTGCCTTGTGTTAAATACGCCCCTGTGTGTGGGTGCGTGTGGTGTGGGACCGGGATCCCGGGATGGGTGTTTTACTGTATGGCAACGTATTCATGGTTTTATAGTGTAGGGTGGAGGGTTCTACAGCCTTTTTGTATTTTGCCATAAAAGTGTTAATAAACTTTTTGTTTTAAACCACAGTTATATTCTCATGAAGACTATCTTTTCTAAGTGTCCTCTTTACTTTCTGGTCAAAAAATGTTAAGTGTTGCTTAACTGCAGTAAAGAAAACATAGGTCACTAACCTGGTGGTGCCTGACTGGCTGAATAAGCCTAGGCCTGGATGGGACAGAAATACAGATCTTTTGGAAGAGTATTTATCTGTTCACTTGGAGTTTCAGATATAAGCAAAAAACCTGTCTACCAGGTGTATTATAGTTGCTTGACATCAGTAAGAGAGTGCAGCAAGTCCATTGCTTTCAATCATTCAGACATGTCAAGAAGATAAAAGGCCACAAAGCAAAGCTTGTTTAAGTAACAAGCAAATATGTGTCACCATGTCAACAGAAAATGACTTGAATGAACTTATATATGAATATAAAAGCAATGGTATGAAACATGAACACACGTTAAGTGCCAATATAGTGGTGCATTGACCCTGAGCAAATGTGCAGCTCAAAATTCAAATTTTAAAATCTGCTTGTTCTGGGTCAGTGACTCCATGAAGTATTGTACCCAGAAACAGTCAGGAATCTAGTATTTCCACAAGCAGGTCAGTCATGGCAGCTTCTATATTTCTCTCTCAGTACAGGTTTCCATAATGTATATTTGTAACTTGTCAGCTTCAGGCATACAGCTGGCAATTGATGAGATGAGAAAACTAGCAGAACACACACTTACACCCCGGTCACATCAAAGCCGATTTTGAAATCATGCCACTTACAGTGAAGTCGCTCGATTTAAAAATTGGGTGAACTGCTGATTTCATTGCGATTTGCAAGACATCTGACCAGGGGCGGACTGACAACTCATGGGGCCCCCGGCAATAGGGGATCATGGGGCCCCTGTGTCCTCGCGCCCCCACACTCAAACCACACCCAAAAAAGCCTACGAAAGGTACCAGGGGCAATCCCACGGGCCCCTTACTGACCCCGGACCCTCAGGCAGTGCCCGAGTTTCTGAATGGTCAGTCCGCCCCTGCATCTGACACAGATGTCTATGGAAATCGCAACAAAAAGTAGTACATGCACTACTTTAGAAATCGGTGCAGCTCCGACCAAGTCAGAACAGCAACCGATACCGACCGCTAATAGAGGACAATAGGGTGCAACTTGGCATAGGATTTGCAAGTTCGTCTGGCATGCAAATCACATGCCCAATGTGATGGGGGTGTAAGCCTTATTTACCAAGAAATGCTGCAAGGGTTTTTAGCTTGCTTGTATGTACAGTGTGCTTGGAGAATGAGCCTTTGAAAAATACCAGTCCAGCTCTCAGATCTTAACTCCTCCATTACTTCTTGGTACTCCATCCTGGTATTTGGGATGGAAAAAACATTAGCATTAGGAAGTACTTCAACAGCTGACCTCAATAACACACACCCTGCACCTGCACTCCCCCTGCAGGAGATTGCTCCCCGCCCACCTCTCTGTAGTTACATACTTCTCTTACACCCCAGTCACATCAAAGCCGATTATGAAATCGTGCGACTTACAGTGAAGTTGCACGAATTTCAAAATTGAGTGACCTGCCAATTTCATTGCAATTTACAAGACATCTGACACAGATATCTATGGAAAGCACAACAAAAATAGTGCACGCACTACTTTAGAAATTTGGTGCGGCATCCCGACCAAGTCAGAAACGCACTGATATGACCGCTCTAATAGCGGACAATAGGGTGCGACATGGCATACGATTTGCAAGTCGCAGGGCATGCAAATAGGCATGCCAAGTCGCACTTCCGATGTGACTGCGGGGTTAATGCAGTTTTCAGCAAGCACCATTCTCCCTCAATGCACAGCCAATGTCCTCTTCTTGCTAATGGATCATTTTGTACCTTACCCTTCTTCTAGCATAGATCATTCATTTGGCAGAGTGTGCAGGAGCTGATAGCGATCACATAACAGCATATGTGGAGCAGAGCCTGTATTATTGAAAACAGGAGAAGTGTGTCCCTGGAAGTCTGTAAAGCTCACCATACACTATACAAATCTGATTATTACAATATCCTTTAGATCTACCTTCAACTATGAAATGCAGGGGCCCTGCCTGATTGGAAACAGAGTGATTAGATAGATAGGTGTGTCCTCCTATTATATAGTTTTGGTAAATCTAAAGGAGTGTTTTTTACACAACTGCCTTACTGTATATAATGATTACAATATCTCCAAATATGGCATGTACGTTTTACGTAAGAACAAAGAGTGCGTTTGCCCACGCACCATAAGGCCAACAGGAGAGTCCAAAGTGACCAGTAATTTTTATTAGTGGTTTTTATATGGATATGTAGGGATTGTTGTGTGTGTTATTTACACGAGCGCAATACAAGGGAAGAGAATGGTAGGAGTAAGTAGTCACAGGAAAAGGGAAGAGGAGGGAGTTTAGGGAATGGATGAAAAGGGAAAGAAGGGGAGGGAGGAGGGAAGAAGTAGGAGGTAAAGAGGGAGAAGGGGGAGAAAGAGGGAGTCAAAAAGAGAAGGAGAAGAGAGAGGGAAAGGGAAGAGAAAGGAGGAACAGATATGAGGAGAAGAGAAGAGAAGAGGAGTGATGAGGAGGAGAAGGAGGAAGGGAATAGTGAGGGGAAGGAGAGGGAGAGGAGAAAAGAGAGAGATAAGGGAAGAGGAGGGAGGAGGAGGGAAGAGAGTAGAGAGAAGTAGGTAGGGAAGAAGTTAGGGAGGAGTAGAAAGGAAGGGGAGTAAGAGAAAGGAAGAAGGGAAGGAGGGATGAAGAGGATAAGAGTAGAAGAGAAGGAAAGAAGAGGAGGGAGGGATGTACAGAGGAAAGAGAAGAGGGAAAAGAGTGGAAGGAGGAAGGAGAGAGTACCTGAGCGAAAGAGTAGAAGAGAGAAGCAAGAGGGTGAGAGAAAAGAAAGGAAGAAGGAGAGAGAAAGGGGAAGAGGGAGAGCGGAGAGGGAGGAGGGAGGGAGGAGGGAGAGGGAGGAGAGGGAGGGAGAAGGGCGAGGGATCGAGCGGGAAAGTCAAGTGGAAAGGTCCTCTAAGGAGAGATCTTAGGGAAGTAAGTGAGAGGGGGATGGAAAGGGAAAAGGAGGGTAGGCGTAAAGAGCAAGAGAAGGGATGCGAGGAGTCGGATGAAGAGGAGGGAGGGGTTGTATCACCGAAGAGATATTCGCCGATTCTCTTAGTGAGTATTGTCGCGGGAAAATGTGGGTCTGTTAAAAGCTGATTGCTCCAGAGAGGAGAGCGCGGATCAACTGTTGTGCAGAGGGGAGTAAAAAGAAATTCGTTTACCTCTTTCCATTTCTCTCTCTTTTCTTCTTTTTCTGGCGACCTTTCTTTGCTACGTCTTACTCGTTTCTTGCATGTCTGCAAGGGCAAAACAGACCTTCTTTTCAAGTGCTTTTTCTGCGATCAGAAGGTGACAGAAAGAACTCGCTCTAACAAGGAGAAAAGTCGTGTTCTTCGAAACTAGAGAATAAAACGAGCTGCTTTTCGTCTCTTGTTTCGTGAGATTGTTCCAAAAAGAAGAACAAAAAAGTAAAGAAAAATTCCTCTTCTTCCTCTGCTTGGAAGATGGAAGGAAGAAGAAATTTTCAAAAGATGAAGTTCCTCCTCTGCTTGCCGCTATCGTCCCATAAGGGCGGCATGAGTTCGCTCCCTCCTTTCTCCTTTTCTCTCGTCCTCTCTGTTCTCTTGCTTCTAAACTTTCTTGTCCTTTCTTTCCCTCTCCTCTTCTTTTCCTTCTCTCTGTTCTCGCTTTCTCTTTCCCGCCTCCTCAACCGCTTTTTCTTCTTCTCTTGTTCTTCCTCTCCTCTTCTCTTCTCGTTCTCCACTTCGCTCAGCTCGCCTCTCCCGCTTCTTTCCCTATGAATCTCTTATTCTCTTCTACTCTTGCTGTGCTTCTCTTCTCCTTCTCTTCCTCACTGTTCTCTGCCTTCTCCTCTCTCCATCCTCTCCTTTTACTCTTCACGTCTCTCCTGCGTGGTAACTGTCTCTACTGTATGTTGGCCTCGTATTGAGGCAACATCATGGATCAATGGTATGCTATCGATCTTCCTATCGCATTAATTCCCCTCCCTTCGGTAAAAGATGTCTAATCTATTAGCCACTGGTTACCCTCCAAGATAACTCACTCCATATCTGCACAATAGCGTCATCCCCCTAACCCTCTTTTGCCACTGATAACTAAAAGAAGCACAATGTAAGAAATGTGTATAAAATAATAAGTATGAACTGCCCTTCAGATATCATCAAATTACATTTTTTCAGTATGAGACAAACACCATTCATGGTTCCACGCCAAAGAATTTCAGAAAGCATGTCTCGAATTTGTCAGAGATTGACTAAGAACGTATGCTCCCTTTCGTGTTAAAATAACTACACTGGTTCAAATTCCTCCCATACCATAGGATAACTTACAGTAATGTGCTACAAAAAGGAAACTGAGTCTAATTTGTTCCAAACAACCCTACGAAGTTGCATTGTAACACCTCCTCCCCAAACAAAAATAAACTCTGTAGTAACTGTATCCCTCTACTTTATTATATAATCAAATATGCTGCTGTTTATATGCTGAGGGACCCCAAAATATAGGTTAAATAAAGGTGTTCAGTCACCATCCTGCAAAACCATGTGTCTCCCCAAAACAAAAGTAAAATAAAAGGTGCAAAAAAGCTAGCTCAACATGTTTCACTCAATAAAGAGCTTCGTCAGGATTGAAAAAAATAAATCATAACTGTGCGCGAACACCTAATAAAGTTTAAAACACATGGCAAACAAATGGCTGACAAATATGGATAGTTTTGTTTATAAAGTACAGAGGCCAAAATGCCCACCAAACACAATCAAACAGTGCAATGATATCACCGCACACGGTCACGTTGTGACGTCACTGCGCACATGCGTCGTGATGTTAACCCGAGTTGTGTGATCTTGTGGACAAGAAGTAGAATGTCGTTTTGCATGTACAGTTGTGTTCAAAATAATAGCAGTCAGACATCACTAACCTGATCAATCACTGTTTTTGGTAGAAATTATATTTCTACATGGCAAATAATTTACTAGCAGGTGTAGTAGAGTAATAGAAATCCAACAGACCCAACAGTCATGACATGCATGCTGCTGATTCTGTGTAATTGAATCACTAATTGAAAGGGGCATGTTCAAAATAATAGCAGTGTGGAGTTCTATTAGTGAGGTCATTCATTCTTTGAAAAACAGGTGGCAATTATTGCCCTTATTTAAGGAAGGAAGGCAGCAAATGTTGTACATGCTGGTTACAGTGCATTTCTCTTTGAAATTCTGAGGAAAATGGGTCGTTCCAGACATTGTTCAGAAGAACAGCGTACCTCGATTAAAACGTTGATTGGAGAGGGGAAAACATATAAAGAAGTGCAAATGATAAGCTGCTCAGCTAAAATGATCGCAAATGCTTTAAAATGGCAAACAAAACCTGACAGACGTGGAAGAAAGCAAAAAAACTACCATTCGAATGGATAGAAAAATAGCCAAAATGGCAAGGACTCAACCAACAATCAGCTCCAGGAAGATCAAAGAAGGTGTAAAGTTCCCTGTGAGTACTGTTACAATTAGAAGACGCCTATGTGAAGCCAAGCTATCTGCAAGAAGCCCCCGCAAAGTCCCACTGTTGAAAAAAAAGACATGGCTGAAGAGGTTACAATTTGCCAAAGAGCACATTGACTGGCCTAAAGAGAAACGGCGCAACATTTTGTGGACTGATGAAAGTAAGATTGTTCTTTTTGGGTCTAGTGGGCCGGAGACAGTTTGTCAGATGACCCTCAAACACTGAATTCAAGCCACAGTACACTGTGAAGACAGTGAAGC